ATACATGGCAAACATTCAATGCCATTTAGACATACAACATATATAGACAGACACAGAGGCAATTTAACATTCCAGCTTTCGGCTTCATGAAAGTACGCTCGATTCCAGCCACAGGGGGAGCGGCTGCTTCACTGTCCACCTGTAACACCGAGTCCTTGATGGAGTACTTCCTCATTCTTATGCACGCTGCTGGAAGGTTTTATGGTGTCATAAAATAATTAAATTAGCCTCCCTGCATAAAACGGTACCTAAATTTCCTACTTGACAGGTGCAATTGTCTTTTGGGCTGCATAGGTCGACAGCAAGCTACACTATTAATGGTCAGGAGCTCTCTCTGACCCAGGCTAGCTTTGAACTCATGATTTTTTGATCAGTACTGATTTAATGCAGCTGGCTACTAACTAGCTGCGCCACAGCCCAGTTTGTTATGTGCCTTGATCAGATTTATTCAGAGGAGGCTTGCTATTGCCTTTCTATTAGCCTAAAAGAATATGGCCAACAGTCATCTAATGGATTTCCATGGCTGAATGGGTTTTCATATCCAGAGGTGTATCTACACTAACTACCTATCCTGGGACCTGTCTGAAGTGGTGGATGCTGGCTCAACCCCCAAATGGTTTTAACTGCCATCCCCTAGCTCAGTGGTTCTCAACCTGGGGTCCCCAGATGTTTTTGACCTTCAACTCCCAGAAATCTTAACAGTTGATAAACTGGCTGGGATTTCTGGGAATGTACGCCAAAAACATCTGGGAACCTCAGGTTGAGAACCACTGCCTAGCTACTGTAGAGGCAGGAAACAGCCTGGGTTGCACACAGCTGGGCAGTCACCTTCTTGTTGTCGTTGCCAGCAGGCACAACATGGCTAGCATTGGTTGCTTGTCATCTGAAGTGATATTGTCTCCTTCTCTTCTCTGATATCCTGGTCTAGAATCACTCCAGGCAAATACAACACAAGCCATGTTGTGCCCAATGGCTGCTACGACAAGGAGAAGCAGGGGCACTGAGTGCTGTTTCATGCCACCAGACCCCAGGGAATATGCAATGACTATTAATCAGTTGCAACCAGTTCCATCTCAGAACCATCCAAAATATTTACATGGGCCCAAAGTCACAGTTTGCTCTGGATTCTCGGGGAGTATTTGGAGCCAGCTGCAGCTTTGGTGTTACAGATATTTGGGAGTTCAGTTTCTCGCAAAAAAAAAAAAAAAAATGCTGAAGAATCCTAGAGTTAAAAGTGCTCATATTCATCTTCTCCATATGCTCCTGCTCAGCACAGAAAATTTTAGAGGTAGTATATCCTCTAAAAAGTCTACCCAGCTTATGTTTGAAGACCTGTAGTGAATGAGAGAGGGTATCACCCCTGGAGGTAATTGGTTCCATGGTTGAACTGCTGCAATCTTTTATCTTTTCAATTGTTCAGTTCATATCTACCCTCCTGTAACCAAATCCCATTAGATCCAGTGCTGCTTTTTGAAGTAGCAAACAATGAAACTCTATTCAGGTGTTAGTCCAGGAGGAGACAGTAACAAACGAAAAATCCAGGGAAGTCTATCTGCCTGGCTCTTCCAGCTGTCACTGGGCTGAAAGTGTTTTTGAAGAGAAGCCTTTACATGAGCAATAATGGAAGAAACTGGATGTGTATAATTAAACGACACAAAATTGCCAAGGGCCTGGATAGGTCTCAAGTTCTTTGCCCTCTTTTATGTTATGTTTTATGTTCAGCTGTTAGGAAAATTGTGTCATGTCCTCCCTTAGTCTTCTAAAGATATAGCTGGCCTTGTTTCTCTTAATATTTTAGGGTATTTTTGAGTCTTTCTTTGTGTTCTCAACTTATTTTGGAAAGTATGGTGCAGTGGGTTAAACCGCTGAGCTGCTGAACTGCTGACCAAAAAGTTGGAGGTTTAAATCTGGGGAGTGGGGTGAGCTCCTGCTGTTAGGCCCAGCTTATGCCAACCTAGCAGTTTGAAACATGCAGATGTGAGTAGATTAGAAGGTACCACCTTTGCAGGACGGTAACGGTGCTCCATGCAGTCATGCTGGCCACATGACCTTGGAGGATCTTTGGCTGAGAAATGGAGATGAGCACTGCTTCCCAGTCAGACACGACTAGACTTAATGTCAGAGAAAACCTTTATCCTTACTTTAAGCAAGCAAAATTTTTGCAAATTGGCTTCCCCTCCTTCAGCATAAGAGGAGGGTATTGACAGGCTTTGTCATGTATTCCTGGTGGCGCAGTGAGTTAAACCCCTGTGCTGGCAGGACTGAAGACCAACAGGTCGTAGGTTCAAATCCAGGGAGAGCGCGGATGAGCTCCCTCTATCAGCTCCAGCTCCTCATGTGGGGACATGACAGAAGCCTCCCACAAGGATGATAAAACATCAAAACATCTGGGCGTCCCCTGGGCAACGTCCTTGCAGACAGCCAATTCTCTCACACCAGAAGTGACTTACTGCAAGTCGCTCCTGACATAACAAAAAATGTATTCTTACAAAATTTAACTAGTTCAACTGTATTATATCCCAAGAGTTAAAGGCAGTGACACATTTTATTCTGACACCAATCCTGCAAGGTGAAGGAGAAAATGATTTTGAACTCAATTCTTGGCAATCAAAGCAAAGGAGAGATTTGGCTTTTGTAGGGTTGTGTTTTTGTTTTTGTTTTTTTAGTTCAACCAAGTTACTCAGTCTCATGAAAGGTTGGTCTGAAAAGTTTATCGACTTCTGCTAAACTCTCTCTCAAGAGTACCTTGGAAGAAAATGTTAGGGATTTTTTTCAGCTTTGTTTTTCCCTGCGGTCATAGAAACGCGAAATATCATGGAAAGAAGGCAAGGGAATTTCACTCCTTATTGCTATAGCATTTGTAGTCTCTTTCTCTGATGAATAACATATTCACTGTTCCCTGGCATTTTCCTCCGTACATGCCCCAATTACAAAAATTCCCTTAGGTGGCGTGGGGAGGGGGAGTGGGAGATCTGAGAATCCTTCTTAATAGGCCAATCTCTCTAGGCACACTATCATATTTCACCTGTCATCCCTAACAAAGTATTTCTTCCCATAACAGTGGAACTAGTTTCATTGTGCTTCATAAACTGAAGACTTGACATGATCAGTAAGCCTGCCTATTAACTATACATTACATTTTAGCTGGATATAAAAAATAGCAACAATAATTTGTAACCAGCAATGTAAAAAGTATGAGTATGAAGGTCTTTGTAGACAGCACCCCTTTTATTTATTCATTTAGGGAGTGAATTGCATAATATTTGGATTCTTGAATTGATGAAACTGCCTTTCTAGTACATTAACTCCAACACAGTATGATAAAACTGTTGGAAAACATTAAATTGGTGCTGGGTTTGAAATGATTATTCTCTGCTGTTCCCAGGCATTTTTTGAGTCTAAATATTTGCCACCCACTACCATTTTGCTGCTGGCAGTCCTGAATGTTTCTGCAAGATAAAGGCATTCCAAGCCACCTGGACATTCTGTGACTGCTTCTAAGCTTAGTCATGCAGGCGGAAAAGAGGAATGCTGGCCAGGGGAGTCCTGGTTGCATTCCTCACCTCCAATCTTTTCCCACTCGCAGATATATTGCATTTATGCTTACGGTACCACCCTTGCATGGACACAGCTGGGCCTGCCTGGAAACTTCAGAGATTTCGTAAACTCTTTTACTGAGATCCAGAACATATCTTATAGATAAAATTTGTATAATTGGTGCATTGAATTTCTGTGAAGGGCTTGGACTTTATTACCCATATATACTCGAGTATAATCCGGGACACCTAATTTTGCCACAAAAAACTGGGAAAAACTTATCAACTTGAATATAAGCCGAGGGTGGGAAATGCATCAGCTACTGGAAATTTCAAAATAGAAATAGATGCCAATAAAATTACATTAATTAAGGCATCATAGGTTAAATGTTTTTGAATATTTACATAAAACTGTTATTTAAGATAAGACTGTCCAACTTTGATTAAACCATTATTCTAACCTTCATTGTAAATGTCCTTACGTATACTTCCAATAATCACAATTTTTAAATTTTTAATGATATATTTTGGGGAACATGCTGTATGTATATGAATAAGGAAAAATGGGAAAGACTGGCTTGGGAAGGGAGGGGAAAAGAAGGACTGGAACCAGGAAAAAGTGGGAATGGGAAGGGTTGGTTGAAAAAGAAGGGAAATGAGGTGGAAACGGGGTGGTTGGAAAAATAGGACAGTTTGGGGTGGGAAGGGGGCAACTGGGGAAGGGGGAATAAGTGAGGTGTGAAAGGGGGGCTGGAAAGGGAGGCTCAGTTGGTGTTGTATTTCAGTGTCAATGTTGACTCTTGTGGCGAGGTGGCAGCCAAGGTAGAGAAAGTGGTCAATGTTTTCTAATGTTACACCATTAAGCTGAATTTCTGGCATTGCAGAGGGATTGGCTGGTGACTAATGGAAGAGCACCAGATCTCTTTAAGATCCCTTTGAGTCCTCTTGAGGAGAAAGATGGGGCAGACATAAAGTAAATACATAAATAAATAAGTATGGGTCACATCTGAAATCACTAAAATGAAGTTTTGTCTAATATTTATTTGAAATGTCTCTTCCTTAGTGAAGTTTCTGTTCAATCGAGAAGACTATATAATCCCCCACTAAGACAAGTTGCTTCAGTAAAATATGTTGCCTTACCTATTTGGTATAGTTTAGTTTATCCAGTTCCGTGGCACTATTTTCCTGCTACTCTCAGCTTAAGCATGCTTTTGTCCTTTTCCGGGATGTAGAATTCCTCCTCCATCACTTATTTCCTCACCCCACCCTACCCCCAGGCTGCATGTTTGTGTTTTAATATTTGGTTCTGACTGTGGCTTTGTGCTATTTGGTATTTCAACTTTGTTTTGGAGCAATGTATTTCCTTTTTTTATTATCACAATTCTTTCTTTTGTGTTTGTTTTGTGTGTGCCTGTTTCCTCCCCATTCCTACCTCTGCTTTCTTGGACTCTGCTTCCTATGCAGCAGCCAGCTCTGGTTCAGATACAAAGGGCTCCAAAGGTATTTTCAATGGGTACTTGACATGCCTTTTAAACTAAGGAAGCTCCTTATTTAAAAGGACTGTGTGTTATGTGTCACTTAACCAAACTAATAAGGTGCCAGCTGTGCAATCTCTGATAATGACACAGCTCAGTTGCCATGGGGACCACCTTATTTGCTTGAGTTGCCCTCATTACCAGCATACCCCACAGCCATGTGCTGGGGAACGCACTACAAAGAGAAATCCTACCTTTTTTTTGTGGGGATTTATTACATAAATCATGCGTCCATCTACAAGATCTGTCTCCAGAATGAAGATTGTTGGGAGATTATATTTTATTTAATTGCCATTTTCCTCGCCACCCAAACCAGGAAGGCCAACCTGTGGTCTTTAAATGGGAGGCGGGAGTGCTTTCTTTTCCAATCCATGGCAGATTTTGCATGTGTTTTCTTTACCCCTAATTTCATCATATTCATTCTTTTCCCTAATCTGAATTTTATTTTTAAAAATCATAAAACATGCATTTAAGTATGTATGGAAATTCATATATGTATATATGTATATGTTGGTGTGTGTGTATACATATACATGTATAGCCTCAAAATATGTTTACAAGCATATTTTAAGACATGTAATCTACCAACAAGTGCTTCACAACATTTGGATTTCGTATTCCTCTGACTGATAGCTAAACCCAAATTCACATCTTAATTCAAGAGATACAGATCCAGTTGTTTTGTCAAAGAACTATGCAAGATTTTGAGGACTGCTAATGAAAACCAAGTTATTCAATTTTACTACTAAAAATTATAATAGCAGCATCTTAGGGTGTGTTGTTTCCTAAAGATTTAGCAATAGTTGTATTGTTTTGTACAATCTGGAAAGATTTTAATTATAGATCTGGGTTGTTGTAAGTTTTTCAGGCTGTACGGCCATGTTCCAGAAGCATTCTCTCCCAACGTTACGCCTTCATCTATGGCAGGCATCTTCAGAGGTTGAACCACCTAAACTGGGCTTTACAGGCCAATGGAAACTCCACCACAGACATCAGAAGAAGAACAAGCCACGAGAGTAAAGACAAAGATCTACACCAAGAAAAGGTGTTCTTGCAAAACATCAAGGGAACCACTGACCGCATAGAGAAGCTGATGAAGAAACACAACCTACAAACTATACAGACCCACTAAGAAAATCCAACAAATGCTACATTCAGCAAAGGACAAGAGGCATCCTCTCACCTCTGCAGGAGTCTATGATATACCATGCAGCTGTGGACAAGTCTACATAGGGACCACCAAATGCAGCGTCCAAACACAAATCAAGGAACATGAAAGGCACTGCAGACTACTTCAACCAGAGAAATCAGCCATAGCAGAGCATTTGATGAACCAACCTGGACACAGCATATTATTTGAGAACACAGAAATGCTGTAACAACTACTATGTCAAACTACACAGAGAAGCCATTGAAATCCACAAGCATGTAGACAATTTCAACAGAAAGGAAGAAACCATGATAATGAACAAAACTCAAAACAGGGGAACTCCAGACAAAAAACAATCGGGGAGAGCTAATCACCTCTCAACAAAGGATTCCCCAGGCAGTAAGAAGCCAGACCTTGAAACTGCTAGGCCATTAAATGCTAATCAAGGTGGCCATTTGAAACATTCACAGCTAGCTCCAAGAGTTCTTTCTCCCACCCTGGACATTCCACAGATACATAAACCCAATTTTCCTAGTTTCCAACAGACCACACAGCATCTGAGGATGTCTGCCATAGATGCAGGTGAAATGTCAGGAGAGAATGCTTCTGGAACATGGCCATATAGCCTGGAAAACTTACAACAACCCAGTGATTCCAGCCTTGAAAGCCTTCGATGATACATTAATTACAGATCTGGTTCAGTGGAAGACACCAAATCTTTTGAGAAGCACATTCATTTTTCATATGTTGATGATCTCATACCATCCCAGTACATGACCATTACTGGCTGATACTTAACTTCATTGTAGAATCTGATCTTCTCTGTGTGCATTGGAGACCCCCCCCCCCCCCCCCCCAATAAAAGCTAATGTAGAGTGAGCCTCTACATGCAATATGGTTTTCCCAGGTGAGGCAGGAGGAGCTGGTTTGGAATCAAGTGCTGGAAATACCACTAGGCTGCAAAGATAATTTGATCTATATGCTTCCAACTGATTGTGTTCTCTTTTATTTTTGTGTTTTCCAGGGAAGGAGATTGGTGGCTGGCTCACTCTCTCACAACTGGTCAGAAAGGCTATATCCCCAGTAACTATGTCGCACCCTCAGACTCCATCCAGGCTGAAGAGTAATTAAAATTTTTGGACAATTAAAAAAACATACCTCATAGCATTTGGTTATAACACCTGGGCGCATCTTAAATTACAACAATTATTTACTTTTAATTGGATGGGGTTTAGCTTGTTTTTACATGTATACTTTCCTTTGATTTGTTGTATCAAGTGGTAACTCAGGATTCTGAGCATTAGCCCCTAAAATAAACTTTTCTAAGCTCCTGAAGCTCCTAAAACAGGATGTTATTTTCTTGCCTGGCAATCTGAATGCCTTCAAAAATTGAGAATTCATATAGTCATTGGTGGTAGGAAATTATGAAAAAATGTGGTCCATTTCTTCACTATTGAGATAAGAGATATTCATAGCAACAATCTACAATACTATGTGCAGATAAACCTGAAAATGTCCAGCAACCCTTGCCAAAATCTAGATTTATTTCACACTGTCTTTCATCACAGGATAAGAAATAGCGTAAATTCTTTTTTAAAATTTAACCACAAAAAGACCTCAGTTGATCCAGACAAAAAGTCCATTTTAGTCTAGCACTGTTCACCGAAAAAGCTAGTCCTTTGCTTCTCAAAAAGACCACAAATGGACACGAAGTCAATATCTTCTCCTCCTGTTTACTTCTCCAGTATTTAGTGCTTAAGCTTGGAGTTTTAGTGCTTAAGCTTGGAGTTTTAGTTTAGCTAATAGCTCCTAACATTTACTGCTTTATGTAAATTCAATATCTGGATCCAAAGTATAAAGGCTCAGAAGTTCAATCCCAACATTGACTAGACAGCTATGGTACCTTAGCATGTAATGTGAAAGATGGTATATTCAGCTAGACCAGTGGTTCGCAATCTGTGGGTCCCCAGGTGTTTTGGCCTACAACTCCCAGAAATCCCAGCCAGTTTACCATCTATTAGGATTTCTGGGAGTTGAAGGCCAAAACATCTGGGAACCCACAGGTTGAGAACCACTGAGCTAGACTTCTACAGAAAACAAAGTTCTGTATATGAAAAGGGGCCTCTGTATAGGGTATAAACAAAATAATAATAATATAGTATTTTCACATAATATGCAGGGACATGGGTATAGGAGAGTAGATGAACACTGTATGAGGGCACTTGGAAATATGGGATTTTTCCATGGTCATCTCTATTCTACTGTTACAGGTGGTATTTTGGCAAGATAACCCGCCGAGAGTCTGAACGGCTACTACTCAATCCTGAAAATCCTCGAGGAACGTTCCTGGCAAGAGAGAGTGAGACAACAAAAGGTAATTGTCATTGATTTAAAAAAATATCTATGTATATCTGCGAAAACTGGACTCCCATTCAACTTAGGACAATATTAATATTCTATGATTGTACAATAGTGATGCCCAGCTTTCTAATAAAAGGGATTTCCATTTTCAGCAGAAGAGGAAAAATGGTGGCCCTACAGATGTTGTTGGACTGCAAACTCATATCAATCTTAACCTAAATAGCCAACGGTGAGGGATGTTTGGATTGTGGTCCAACAACACTGGAAGAGCAACATGTAAATGCTTTAAAATAATATAAGTGATGTCAAAAAATACCAACCTGTAGAGGATCCCATATTTCATCAGATCAGTGTTCTGAGTGTGCCTCTAGATTCATGTAAACTTGTAACAGACAACTACCTCTGATGAATGATAATTCTTTTTATAGCTGTGTGGTTGGGAATGATTGAAACACTCATTTTTCTCAGATGTTGATGACATCTGATCAGAAGGAAGCAAACCCAGAGCAATTCATCATAGAGACATGAAACGAGGACTTTGCTCCATGGACCAGTAACTAAGCTTACAGAAGCTTCTATGAAATGACCCGTTAATGTCTCTTCTGACATGCCATATGAGAATCACTATTCTAGTTGGATATTTTATCTCTCTTTTAAGCTTCTTGGGACAAGTCACACATTCATGCATCTAAAGTGAATCTCTGTGGGAAAAGTACAATAGACTTGTATCCCAGTTCTGCTCTTATCTGGAGATCTTGATTTGAGTTAGTAAAAAGAAATCATTTTGGGGAAATACCATTATCCATCACACATTCCGTGTCTATCCAAGGATGCTAGCATGCAACAAAACAAAACAAAAGCAAATCTGCTTTTAATTGCGGGCAATCGTGCATTGGAAGTTTTCAAACCAGGGGACTTAGACCTTGAAGACTCTCTGCAAAACCACCAAAGTAATAGCTCAAAATGTTTACAATCAAGGCAAGGAGGTATGTTTCTGTGACATCCCTATTATCCCATCTTCTGCCTGTATATGGTATCTAAAGTCAGTCCTGTCAACAAGGCTGGACTCCATCTGTTTCCCTCCCCTTCCGATCTGATTCGTGGAGAACTGGGCGGGATTTGAATGTAAACAGAGACTCCGGTCCTGTGCCTGTCCTCTTTGCAGGAGAACGGTGCTGAAACTGGGTCACTGAGCTGGGAATAGCTGGGTAACCAATGGCAACAGAGAACTCCACTGTTTCCTCCTTTCTTTGCTGCCAGGGGCTGTTGTTTGTTGTGGTTATGGGAATTGTTTAATGGAGTTTGTGTGTGTGTCGCATTGTAGGAAGTTGTTGACAGAAACAAAGAATGGGTTCAACATATATTTAACATATACACACTAGCAACAAAACCCATGTGACTACAGAATCTAGCAATAAATGTTTTCTGTCCTGACCTTTCAGTTCCTAGTATATATAATAGGTTTACCCACAAAGGGAGTGGCCACCATACCTATGTCAAGGCCTAGTCAAGGCCAGACTAGGGGGAGGGATATGGGAGAAGGTGGATGCTTGGTCATTAGAGCTATGGCTGCATGTCTGCCTAGCCTATTCTCTTCAAGATTTCTTCCTGCATTCCTCCGTTGAAATATTACTTATTGCAGTATGTTAAATCTTTGTATGCTGTCAGCCGATGACATGTCAAAAGGAATGCAGGATTTATCATTTTTGCAGCAGTCCCCATATTAGGTTGCTACAGCAGTATGCACTGAAGATGAAATGCTTGAAAAAACTGTTTATTCCATGGTTTTGCTTATGTAGAGAGTAGAAGTGTAAATATTTGCTGATTTTACTCTCGAAAGGAAACAGAATAATCATAGCCCCCCCCCACCCCCAATTTTCAAGTGTGGTCAATGTGCTGTTGACGGCCAGATTTTCAAATGAAGGGGAACACTCAGGAAATGGAACTGAGCCATTCCGAACAGCCACTCTAAAAAATGCAACTGCTTGTGTTTTAGAAATGCTTGGCCGATCAATCCAAGTTTGCACATAATATCCAAAAGCTGGCACTTGAGGCAAGTTAACAAAACAGCACTTTTGCCTTGTAATTGGAACATCATATTAGCTGTGAAGGTGGAAGCCACATTTCCCTATAGATCAGCTGCCAGAATCTCTTCCTCCCCTTGAGGTGTTGCAGCAAAGGTCTTCTGTCTCGGAGCTCTGTGTTAACCCCACACAAATTAGTTGGTGAGCTTTGACAGGATCAGAGTGAAGGCTGATCCAGCTGGAAGCCATAATTAGACAGCTCTGGCCTTGCTGGCTTCTTTTTGTTCTTCAAAGGTAGCCGCTATGCATTTCCCCCCATTTTAATCCTGCTGTGAAGTGACTATCCTGCTGATTGTAGCATCCAGAAGATATACTGTATTTGTGTGTGTGTGTGTGTGGAAATGGCATCAAAACATTCAAGTAGCTGAAAGGCTTGCTTGAAAATCTGTGTGAAGGGTTTGCTGGGAAATCTTTCCCCATTTTAAAGTGCCAGAAGGAAATGATGAATCAATAGATTTTTATGTATCCTTTCCCTGTATTTTGTTCTCATTTCTTACAAGGTAGGTCAATCCAGACAATTAAGAGTCTAAACATTTGCTTCAACGTGGGCCATTCTGTTCCTTGGGCTTCACAACCTTTGTAGTCCTGTTTATATTATAAGTTTCAAAAGAATGAATAATGCACATATTGTCCTGCCGTTCTTTGGAGGGACAATCCTGACAAAGATTTGCTCTGAAGTATCTCTTTGGCAAAATCTCTGAGCTGTGTATGTTGTTCTTCAACAGGTGCCTACTGCCTCTCTGTCTCAGATTTTGACAATGCCAAAGGACTCAACGTGAAGCACTACAAGATCCGCAAACTGGACAATGGTGGCTTCTATATCACCTCTCGCACCCAATTCAGCAGTCTTCAACAGCTGGTAGCATATTATTCCAGTAAGTGGCCCAACAGCATAACTTGTAATAATGCAGAATTGTTTGCTGAATAAAGATGTCTTCGTCAAGGTACTTGGAGCAAAAGTATGTAGTTGAAGAAATTTGAACAGCGTCAACCATGAGAGTCAGGAGACCTCATTGATCCTCCATTGAACCTTGTAGAGTTCACTGCACCTCCTGCAAAAGCCTTTAGCAGTGTTCCTCCACACACATGCACACACACCTCCCAGCATTCCCTAGATCAGTGGTTGTCACCCTGTGTATCCCAGAAATCCCAGCCAGTATACCAGCTGTTAGGATTTCTGGGAATTGGAGACCAAAACATCTGGGGACCCACAGGTTGAGAACCACTACCCTAGGGGGTCAAGAGGGTGATTTCACCAGATTTTAGTCTTCTGCAGACCATATTAGGCCCAGGAGAGGCCTCATTTTTATAATGGAAAATGATTTGGATGTTTGACTTCTGAATTATATAGAATCAAAGAGTTGAAAAGGACCCAAGGCCTCTTGTGTTCAACCAGTTTTTCCCTGGAGTGGGGAGGGGGGCATCTCCTGAGCCAAACATATGTATGGAAGAACCTTCTGGAGCAGTGTTTCTCAACCAGGGGGTCGGGATCCCTGGGGGGCCATGAGACGGTTTCAGAGGGGTCATCAAAGACCATCAGAAAATACATATTTCTGATGGTCTTAGGAACTCCATTGGCAGAGAAGGCTGAAGATCTCTCCACCTGTCCTTCTCTTCCTTTTTTTTGGAAACAGACAACAAATCCTCCCACCAAAAGCCCTCCTCCTGTTGTGATTGGCCGGCTTGATCATCTGGCCTCTGAGCCAAGGGGAGGGCTGTTTCTGAGACTCCAAGCAGGGAAGGGAGAGTAGGTGTGCACGGCGCAATGTGGTGCACGTGTGTGGTTGTGGGAGAGCAGCGACGCTGGAGGGAGGCTTGTGTCCCTTTAAGGCAGGGGGGAAAGTGCCCTTTGATTATAGCTTAACTATAAATCACAGCAACTACAACTCCCAAATGGCAAAATCAACCCCCCCCCAACCCTACCAGTATTCAAATTTGAGCATATTGTGTATTTGTTCCAAATTTGGTCCAGTGAATGAAAATACATACTGCATATCAAATTTTTACATTACAGTTCATAACAGTAGCAAAATTACAGGTATGAAGTAGCAACAAAAATAATTTTATGGCTGGGGGTCAACACAACATGAGGAACGGTATTAATGGGTCGTGGCATAAAGAAGGTTGAGAACCACTGCTCTGCAGGGTTGGAGAGGGGCAAGAATCAAACATTTTTTCACTTCATTGAGCTGTTTTCCCGCTCTTAATCTTAGAGGAAGCAAGAGATTAAGAGTAGAACTGGATGATCTAAAAAAAGGCCACCATTCTACCACTATCCAGCATATTTATTGACTCTCTATGCATCAATCCACAAAATTCAAGAAAGCCAATTTTCCAAGTGCTATCCTTTGTCGATTACCTTTATGATTTTACATGGCCCCTTAAGAAGCCCTCTAAGAGCATATACAGCTGAAATATGTTAGGCTTTTTATCAATAAATTATGCTTCAACTGAGCATTTTGAGATGTGTCTCCAGTTTTTTTCTGCTGATTTCATTGCTTCTCGCTTTCCCTTCTTAACTGCCATAACATCATAAAGCCTTTGACCTACTTATTTACAAGACCACAGATAGAATAACAAGGCAGAATAAGGTGGGCCTTATCAGCTGTCCCTGCTTCAGAAGTAAAGATCAAAAGAGGTGAACATTTTTAGAATCGTATGATATTGGTACAGAGGTTACTGTTATGGCAGAAAAAAAGAAGAAGTGGTAATCCAGTGAAGACTCTAAGATAGTAACCTATAAATAGGGAGGTAAAGTGAATAAATATAGTTTCATGGGGTGTCTCTCAAATTCTTTCTAGCACATTGATCAGAGAGGCTGGTGCTCCTTTTAAACATAGAAAACTTACTTATCTGCATTTAATTAGGCAAATACAGAAAAAATGGCCCTTGTTACTGACCATTGAGGCTTGGCTGATTGTTGGGTAACCTGTGAGCCCAGATAATTCTGGTCATATTGGTTGTATGCCATTCTTTTCCAGAACAGCAGTCAGAGATCAGTGTTTTACAAATGACTACAGTTCTCTCCATTTGGTACTTTCCCATTAGCTGAGGGCTGAGTAATTTGTGGTTCTCTAGCTAATATTGGACTGCAACTCCCATCAGCCTTAGCCAAAATAGCCAGTGCTGTCCAATCACACTGGAAGAGCCAGAGTTGCCCAAGCTGTTGGTACAGCAGTGAAGGTAATATCATGGCAATTTGATGGTCAACTTGCTTCTTATCATCCAGTTAACTGACTTCAGACAGTTGTTTCTGCTTCAGCAGCAGCTCTTATCTTTATTTACATTTCATTCATTGTAATAACACTTACTTGTTAGCACGGTCACAATGCAAGAGAGAAAAGAAAGAGACAAAACAAATGGTGTCTGCCATATTTATATCCCATTGTTATCAGCTCATTAGTTCAGTATCCAGAGTCCTAGTCTTTTGCAACATCTTCCTTGGCTATTCTACGCATACTTAAAAATGTTCCAAAGATTAACTCTTTCACAGCTAGCAGCATGGACATTTTAAATTTATACAGTATATATTGACATTATACTGATAGGTAATTGTGAAATGGCAGTGAGATTCTTTCTGGTGGGAATCCTTCTTTCATATCGATATGTTTTAAAATCCATATAAACATGGTAACATATCTGATGAATCCCGTTGCTTGTAATGAGCTTTTTCCCTTTCTTACTAACTACTAGCACTCCACACATCTGGCTTTAGAAACCAGGCTTGTTGGGTTTCTTTTTAACAATAAACAAATTGCGGAATTTGGCAGAAATACTCAGTTCAAGGCCCTAGAAGGTGTACTGATATTTATGTCCATCTAACTGCTTCGTTGATCATTGGTACTAGCTCCAGATTAATTATATTGAAATGCACAATAATAGGAATTCAACCTGCATTTAAGAAAAAGGAATGGAATAGATATTCTTAAAGTAATTATTCTTTCTGTCTTATGCCACTTTCTTTTACAGAACATGCAGATGGCTTGTGCCACCGTCTTACCAATGTCTGCCCAACCAGCAAGCCTCAGACACAAGGCCTTGCCAAGGATGCCTGGGAAATCCCCCGGGAATCCCTAAGATTAGAAGTGAAGCTTGGACAAGGCTGCTTTGGAGAAGTGTGGATGGGTAAGAAGTTCTAGCAGGTCTATGAGCCACCGGGATTCGATGGCCATTACATTTCTGGAAAGGAAAATTAATTTTAGAAGGGTGAGATCTGGGAAGACAACCACTAACGCTGCTTGCGAAACAGGCAGCTATTTGGCTGTTTCATAGCTTTCAAGTTCACCTTGTATCCATCTGAGCAATCTGCAGCCAGGCTGTATAGTCTACTGTGCAAAACAAAGGACTAACAGGATCAAATGCAAAAGAAGCCTTAGTGACTTTCATGAAAAGTATGTTAGATGTTGCATTTGGAGCAGCATAACAGCCACTGGTACAGCTGCATTGTGAAAGGTTTGTCAGTTACTGGCAGGAGGACAGATAGAAAGGAAGGGAGGAAGGAAGGAAGGAATTCCAATCAACAATATTAAGTATAATTGTTAACCATAATTATTTTATCATTTGAACTAGGGTTTCCTCTTGGGCTAGTACAATGTAGCTAACTTAAAGCAAGATTGAAATAGTCTCTTTCAGATCAATTGAACCTAGGCTGGATCTACACTTCCGTATAATACAGATTATCAAAGCAGATAATCCACTTTATCTGCTTAGAACTGGATTATATGTATCTACAATAAATAAATAAATCCTGTTTAAAAGCAGATAATCTGGATTTTATATGACAGTGTAGAAGGGGCCTTAGTCATGCTTCATATATGTTCACCTGATTTCAGACTTAACGCTGGAACTAACATTTGGTCACTTAATAAATCACAGGATGTTACCCCCCTGCCCAAAAGAATTTATAAATGTTCATCTGATTTCAGACTTAACGCTGGAATTATATTTGGTCACTTAATAAATCACAGGATGTTACCCCCCTCCCCAAAAGGATTGCAATTAATTTGCATCTTTTTACATTTAGACATCATCATGTCCCTTAAAGGATACAAGATGCTACATTAATTTGAAGATAGAGAATAATCAAAACGATGAGCCAAATATACCGAATTGTTCCATCTTGGAACCAGAGAAATGGTGAACCTAGATAACACCTGGATGGGTCGTTGCCTTTGGAACTTCACAAACATCATATTTAATTATTTGGTGGGGAGGCTGGAGCCACCGGTGGCACAGTGTGTTAAAGTGCTGAGCTACTGAACTTGCTGACCAAAAGGTCACAGGTTCGAATCCGGGGAGTGGCATGAGCTCCCGCTGTTAGCTCCAGCTTCTGCCAACCTAGCTGTTCAAAACATGGAAATGTGAGTAGATCAATAGGTACCACTTCGGTGGGAAAGTAAAGGTGCTCCATTCACTCATGCCAGCCACATGACCTTGGAGGTGTCTATGGACAATGCCGGCTCTTCGGCTTAGAACTTGAGATGAGCACCAACCCCCAGAGTTGGACATGACTGGTCAGTGTCAGGGGAAAACCTTTACCTTTACCTTACAATTTTTAAAATAACCCTGAAAACATTTCTTTCCTGAGAACTAACCTGTGACATTGATCTTCTCATAAATATTACTTCATGACAACTAGTTTTGAAATGGGGAATTAATATGCTTCAAACTCATGAGCAATCCTGATAGTCTGTATGTGTCAGCAACTGTATCCTCCACTGGTCCTTTCCCAGATGTTCTGTACAAATTTCAGCCATCCTTAACCTATCAGTCTCGTGCAACTTGACCAATAGTTAAGAAATCATGAGTTCCAGTCCAAAAACACTTGGAGACACCAAGCTAGTGGCAATAGCTGTTAATATCTTTTCATATTCTAAGATACTTGCATGTGGTAAAATGGGACCACATGTTTCTCAGTGAAAAGTGTACCTTGCTAATCTATTTCTGTTTCTACTCCAGGGACCTGGAATGGCACCACCAGGGTGGCAATAAAGACTCTGAAACCTGGGACAATGTCTCCAGAGGCATTTCTACAGGAAGCCCAGGTCATGAAGAAACTGCGCCATGAGAAGCTGGTGCAGTTGTACGCTGTGGTTTCTGAAGAACCTATTTACATTGTGACAGAATACATGTGCAAAGGTGCGTAATACATTTATTTATGTATTAACTCTATTTGTATTCCGCCTTTCTCTACCCCAAAGGGGACTCAAGGCAGTTTTACAGATACTATAAATATACTATATACTATAAATATAATATAAATGCCAGAGTGATTGGACAGTTCGTGTAGATGCTCTTGTTTTCAAACTAAACGGCAACTCCAGGCAGACTAGAAATTCAGGCGAGGAGGGGAAAATACCCACAATTACCACTTGTCTTTTTCACTTAGCTCTAGATGGAATAGGCAGCACATTGTGCAAAGACCAATTCACACAACCAAATTAGTGTGCTGCAAACGTAGGCAGAATGGATTGGTGAAGAAATTAGCAAGTGCTAAAGAGACTACATGACTCTGCCACACGGGCAACTCACAGCTCATTGCTCCTTTGCTATGCCTCTATAAAAGGAGTGTGAAGAGCTGCAGTAAATCAGGATGTGAGAGGAGGCTCTAATAGATGGCTTTACAAGACATAAATGCCTTCCACTTTTTAAACAGCTGGTTAGCTCAATTAACATTTTTTTCATTCTTTGAGTTTAAAACAGCTGCTGATCTGTGAAAGGGAATGAGAGAGAAACACCTGCATACATTGAAGGGTTGGTGTTATTTACTGATGAATGTGTGTTCAATTCTAGGAAGCCTCTTGGATTTCTTAAAGGGTGAAATGGGCAAATATCTGAGGCTGCCCCAGTTGGTGGACATGGCTGCTCAGGTGGGTGTCACATGCTTTCAGAAATAGTCTTGCTTTGTTGTGAATACTTTCCTCTGAAAATCATATTCCTGAACAGAGACTGCCAGCATGGTAGACTATGACAATCTGTTTCTATCCTATACCATTTTATCTGTGTGTAAAAAAGAGATGGGGAAAGAGAAGGGGAGGGAGAAGAGGGTCATTGGAAAGTGCATTAAAACATGAGTTTCTCCTTCTTGTAGTCTGGGATGTTGCAGTTTTTGGGTGGAAAACATGATATTCTTAGTGCTTCCAGAGGAGGCCGCAAATCTGCAATGGCATTTATTAATTATTTATATTTATTTACTATATTTGTATACCACCTTTCTCAGCCTATCGGCGATTCACTTTTTATTGGGTGAGCAGATGCCATTGTTGATGTGAAGCCTTTATCCCATGCTTAATCTTGCATTGACTGTATTAATCCTACGCTAGTTCCTTTTAAAATTCAGAAAAATCCAGTATTTTATAAGGACTAAGGAGAATAACATTTTTATATGTAGCTGTAAGTCCGTTAGGGGTAGGAATGGTGCATCAGGCGGCTGGATGATACTGGACTTGCACAGTCTTCTTCATTGCTTGCCATGCATTTGCTGATTTCACATCTTGCAAAAGTAGTATTCTGATCAATCTATTCCCCCATCCCCTTGAGTGACTAGTCAATGAACCAAGGGCAATGGCAGCAGTAGTGTTTACTTCTTTAGCCTTCATCTTCCTGTTGCCTCCTTCCAGCTTGGTTCTGTGTGTATCTAGGGAGAAACTGGGCAGAACTGACTTGGGGACAAGAATCTGCAGTCACACAAATGGACAGGTTCCACATGGTGAGACCATTCAAGGGTTTCTACCTTGTGCAGAGTTGCAAAGTTTGAAAAGCACCAAGATAATTATCAAGCTTCCAACCTTTGCAAGAGGCTGAGAAGCCTTGAAGAAAGGAGCAGGAGAACCGTCACACTATATTGGTTGCTATGTCAGACAGTGCCACTTCCTAATAGTGAGTGAGTGAGTGGTATTTTATTTTTCATCTGTTTTAACTTCCTTCAGCTAGAGAAAATCCACATTTTCTTGAGTCACCATCTCCAGTGAACTGCAGGACATTTAGCCTTCTTTTTCAAATGCTCATTCAGACAGTTAAAGGTAAAACAAGCTGAATGAGCATTTAAAAATGATTCCTACCAGCCAGCAGCTTAACTACATCAGCCAGTGTATGGAATAGCTACAAGAATTCACCCTGGGTCAGTGGATTCAATCTTGTTAGGCATTATACTGACAGAATATAGCAGTAGTTTGAGCAAATTTGGAGTGTCTTTTGCTTTTGGAATGTTTCCAGATTGCATCTGGCATGGCGTACGTGGAGAGAATGAACTATGTTCACAGAGATCTTCGAGCTGCCAATATCCTTGTCGGGGAGAACTTGGTGTGCAAGGTGGCCGACTTCGGACTGGCTCGCCTGATTGAGGACAACGAATACACGGCAAGGCAAGGTATAAACCACATATTCCTGTGTTATTTGGAGACAATTTCCAGAAGCAACTAGCTAGGGCTTCAGGGAAGACATTAATGGAACAATGCAACAAAATGGAAGAAGATACTGGTGAGATTATATACAAGGAGATCTACAGAGCTCACTGTTTAGATCTTTTTAGCATAGCTGGTTAAAGATACAGAAGTAGTTGTAGCCTCAAATCATCATTCCTAATTTCTCCACATTTTGTGAAAAGAAAAAAAAGAAAGAAAGCATGCTTATCACTTTTGCAGGTGACGTCACACTGGACTGGAAAGGTAGTTAATATTTCAGAAGACAGAATCTGGATTCAGGATTCAAAGTGACCTTAACAGATTAGAGAGCTGTGCCAAAACTGACAAAACAAATTTTTGCTGTGATAAATGGAGAGTACTGTACTTGAGCATGTGAAATAAGATACACAGGTGTAGGACGGATGATACCTGCCTTAACAGCAGTGTATGTGAACAGGATCTAAGGCACTGTGAGACCACAAGCTTAATTCAACTCAATAGTGTGATGTTGTAGGGAGCAGTTAAGTTCTGGGCCACATGAAAAGAACTGTGGATCAAGGAAAGTGATAGTATAATTGAGGAAACAGTTCTGCTCGTTCAGTTCTTACTGCAAGGTATGATAGGGCACAGTATACAATTTTCCTATTCTTGAATTTTAACACTGGAAATGCATTTAAGATGGTCTTACCGGACTAATGTAGCAGCAAATGGACTTTGGATTGGCACCACATGGCTTTTGGGATCCTACCCAATCTTACAGTTCTATAAGAATGGTAATTCTTGAACTTGTTTTTAATTATCCTGTTTACCTTATACAGGTGCTAAATTCCCTATTAAGTGGACTGCTCCAGAAGCTGCACTCTATGGCCGGTTCACTATCAAGTCAGATGTATGGTCCTTTGGGATACTGCTGACCGAACTGGCCACAAAAGGCCGAGTTCCATATCCAGGTAAATGTGTTTTCAGGTTTGCTACTTGTTCTGCAAGGGCCATAGAACCAAATGTAGGAAATTCATTCACTTGGGATGGAGCCATTACCTCAGTGAAAGAGCATATGCTTTGCATGTAGAAAACTTCCCCACAGTCAGACAGACAGCATAGTGAGATCTGTTTGAGATCATAGCGAGCGACTGTGGCCAGGTAACTCTAATGTCAGCTGTTTTTATAGGAAATATTCCTTGGTGTTACCAGTCAAAATACATTGTGTAGCTATTCTGCCTTCACATCTCAATAGATTTATTTGTGTGGTTAGAAATGAGATGGAAGAAGTTGTAGGAAAATATAAGATGTGTAAATAAAAACTATCTTCATCTGGATGTCCAATAGTTCTGTGAATTGTGCAATTTTTCAATGAAAGTTTTGCCTGTAAGCACTCTTGGTATTTAGAAACATCATGTGTACGGTCCCTAGTAATTTAAAAGCACAGCAGAAAGCTGCCACAGTCCCCTTTTGCTTTGCTGCCTCTTAGTGAGTCTTATTTGCTACATCCTAAGTGACAGCTGCATCTTATCCCTCCAGGCTTCACACCATCCCTGGGGACTCACAGGTATCCTTGCCTTGCCCTCTGTTCTACTTCTAAGTGCTGATACAGCAGTGGAAGAAGGAACTTCAAGGCAGATCCGGGAAGAAGTTTCCTCAGTTGCTGCCATGCTATGTGGAGTATTTGTTTTTTAAAGGAGGAAAAGGCTTGATGCCAAATTAAGGCATACTTATATTGCTTCCTTGTAATCTTATCCAACTATACTGAGTTAACAAGGAGTTAAGGCCAAGATGCTTTAGTGCTAGTGGAGCACCAGTCTCCGGTACCATACTTCTGCTGCACCAGTTGCACAAAATAATGTGATTTTGCCAAAGGACACAGATGCAGAGATGGACAGTAGAGGATCCTAGACACCATGCAGCTGCAGTTGTGTGGGCAGGAAAAAGGAATAGCCATTGCCCTCCTGGAGCTCCACTGAGGGCAATAATTTTCCCAGCTATATAACTGTAACTAGATTGGGTCTGGGTCTCCCATCCCTCCCAGTCACCAGGGTTATATGTTACCATCAAGTTGCAGTTGCACTAGAGAGCAGGGTTGTTGCCGGAAATGATCCGGTATATACACTGGAAAGGATAGAAGTTTATACCGGCATATGTCACCAGAAAGATTCTGGCTTAATTTATTAAATGTCTGTGCATATTGCAATGGGATGATAAGAGAAGATAAACAACCATGACATATACTGCTTTTTCAAGAGAACTTTGAATATTTTTCCATGTTTGCCAGTAGCTCCAATGCTATTACTGATATCAATAACTCATTTTTTCCTGTACTGATAGGTATGGTGAACCGTGAAGTGCTAGATCAAGTGGAACGAGGCTACCGGATGCCTTGCCCGCCTGAATGCCCAGAATCTCTGCATGATCTAATGTGCCAGTGTTGGAGGAAGGATCCCGAAGAAAGGCCCACCTTTGAGTACCTTCAAGCTTTCTTGGAGGATTACTTCACGTCAACAGAACCTCAGTATCAGCCAGGCGAGAACTTATAGATCTAGAAACCGAATCTATTGTCAAAGACTCAGTGCTGCTTCTACTGCATAGGTGCTCAAGGGATATACTTTGAGACATACTTGGAACATCTCTGGAGCACCTGCTGAGGTCTCTTCCTAATTCTGGTGATTTGCTCTTCCATCCGAGAATAGTTCTGGGCCCATTACAAAGCAGATGTGGTGTTCTTGCCTGTTTTGGGTTAATGAAAGTCTTGATTTAGCAGAGTGTTACGGTTCTACTTCCTTAATATGAACTTGCTAGTGGTTCAGTTGACAGAATTTCAGAAAAGTCAGGTTATTCCAGAAGCAAACAGGCTAAGTGAAAACCAAGGGATGCAGTTTATGAGGGCCATCTACCTTTTCAAAAGATCTGTCCTTCCTCAAAACCACTCCAGACTAGTCAGAAGGAAGATGATGAACTTGATTCTGATAGCAATGATGCGCTTTATAGTCTGCATGACTTCATAGCACTTGTGTCATCTCTGAGTGGTTGATGCTATAGAATTCTGCCTTTTGGATTCAGATGGCTTTTGTCCTTTATGTATAAAACCAGCACAAATTTCTCCTTTCCCTCCTGTATCAAATCCCACTGCCTGGAAGTGGACCAACTGCTTCACTCCAAGAAAAAAATTAGTTCACTAATAATCTGGGCACTACATGTTTCCATGTTTGTGTGAACCTCTTTTAATCTGCCACTGAAGATGTCGCTGTCTCACTGTCCATGCAATCTTGTCCCATTTGTATGCAGAGCACTTGCAGATCCTAGCCATATAATAAGCTGAACTAGACACACTGGTCTTGCTTGGAAACTTGCAGAGTTTTGTATTTGGCTAGTCCTCAGCCTCTGGGGGTGAAGTGCAAAATGACAAAGACTTCCTGGAGGGGCTGGTTTTGACATATGATAGTGCCAGTGGTGATTTATATATTCTCAGGACTATGTTAGGTAGTGGACTGCAGGCTTGTCTTCCATTTTAGCCTTTCTGTCCAGTAATGAGAGCCTCTTATCCAATTTGTTAGATCTGCTGGGAAAAGAACCATTCGGCAGACCTGCAAGTTCTTCTTTTCCCTACATAGAAAATACTACCAGCCACTATAATGCCAGTTTCTTCCCCTAGTTAAGACTAGCATTGGCATTCTAAGAATGCATGAAGCACATAGTTCCTTTTCTTTCCACATTGCTACATCTTAAGCTTAACTGATTCTGGAGCTCCTTAGTGCCTCAGAAATGTAATACAGGTCAAACTTTCCAATTGTGATGTCTTAGCTGTGTAATATGTACCCTTAGCCTAATCTCTGTAGAGGAACTGGAATGCAGTTCCTTTTCTCTCTTGCAACTTGTGATATTTGTGAAGCAGGTCAAAGGTTCCAGTAAAGCAGTATTAGGAATGCCCATAAGGGGAGGGGGGATTTTTCTTCTAGAGTGTTGAATCTGTTTTCCAAGCTGTGTATGATCCTGGGGGTGAGTTTGTTCCAATGAACTTTAGATGAAAAAGTTAATTCAGTTGCCTGTTTGAGAAAGTACGCACAAGAGAAAACTACATGCAGGCTCCTTGCCCAGAAATCAAACTCCATGTGTTTTGCTAAACGTTTGGTCATGACCTGAAAACTATAGTTCTTTGTTTGATACAGATCATACCAAATGTTTTGGTTTTGCCTGCTGGCTTCCACTCCCCACCATCATCAACCCTTGGTGGTCAAAGCAATGGAAAACAGCAAGGAGAAGTATTTCCCTACATGTTATATGCAGCTGCATATACCTTTTTCTGTATTTTTTAAAATTTAAAACTATCTTTCGTAGTGTAAATTTTAGGAAAGTAATCCTAGACATCGGAGTGCTTCTTCTTTTTCTCTTGCCAATTCTTTTTTGCCTCATCCCAAGCTGACTTTAACTCATAGGGAAAAGATGGCTTGGATGGGGTTCCAGTTTTTTTGAAAAGCAAAAGAAGTACAAATGCACATGCATGTGTGTGTATGTATAATATGGTATCATTCCTTTGCTTAAAACTCGCAGCATTAGGGGCTATTTAGGTTTTTTTTGTTTTTGTTTTTAAAAGAGAAATGATCCACACAGCTACATGCAGCACTTAGTTTGGTCATTCTATTCCTTCCTTACAGATGCTCAGGCTTCTGCTGGATCAGACCCTGTGCATCTCTTCTTCAGTCATTTATTTCCTTCCAGGAATACTTGCAAGAGCTTTCCAGCCTCATATCTAGCCTGCTGTGTTTCAAAAGCTGTTTTAAGTTCAGCAAATCGTAGTTTACATTTGAGACATTTGACAATATTTACATGGGGTGGGAGGATGCTTCTAGACTAGTCTGTAAGGCATTGCTTCTTTTGGGAATGGGCAAGAGACTGGGCAGGATGGAGACCTGCACACCAGAATCTATTCCCATCGGCTGTTGGTCTTGTTGTGACTTTGCTTCGTGAGATTCACCCAGGGGAGCCAAAATGCAGGTGTCTTGGCTGGAGCCTGCTTGTTACATTAGTGTGCAAGCCAAGGAATCATCACCCGAAGGCTGGCTGGGCAGATGGAGGGAGACTGAGCAGCAGCACGCTAGGAAAGACCTGAAATGCACTCCAGGAACTGACAGGAGAGTTCAGGCTTTTGAATCTTGCTGTTTCCTTAACTAGGCCAAATATCTCTACACAAATAGAATTGCGCATTTCAGATTCCTAGCCCTAGAAAATGCCTCAGAGTCACTGATAATGCAGCTTCTCTGAAGAACGTGCGAAGAGGTGTTTTTCAAATGACAAGGTCACTGCAGTATTTGAAAAAGGGTTTTTTTTCCTGGAGCTATGTGGAGCATCCAGTTAATCTGCAAACTGATCTTACCACAATTGTTACCCCAGCACCCTACATTTCTGATGCCTATACTTTGATGTTCCTTTCTGTCCATCAAAATACATGTGCCCAATATGTACAAAGAAAGAGCCACTGTGCCATACCTCAAATATGCCAGCAACACCTAAATCACAGTTGTTCCCTCTGCTGCAATTAGATAGAGTATCTTCCATAGAATATGGTTGCTTAACTGAAAATCATACTTTAAAAGTCTTCTTATTTGCAAATTTATCCCATTACTTTCCACAGAATATTGAAAAAACTTGTTTGCTTTAGGATGTGGCCTTTGATTACAACTGAGGTCCCAAGCCTACAATCCAAGAAACCACCCATCTTCCTACACAGCAAGTGATATGGTTTTGGAGTAGACTACAGAAGGCTAAAGAAAGGGATCTTGCTATCCCTCTAATGCAAGAGATAGAAAAATCTTAGGAAAGCCAGTCCAGCAATTTCTCTAATGTGGCCTGCTGCCTTCTATAAGAGCTGTATCAAAACATGGAAGTCTAGGCAGAAACAGTAAGCCAAGCCATATGTAAACAAATCTGCCTTTTATCTCACTGGTTACTGCCAGGGTGGTTCCAAAAAATCATCTGTAGTGCATATGTTTCATTTTATTGGGAGAATTTCTTACCAGCTGTAAAATAGTCCCTCTTTTGTACATAGCTCTTTAGTCATTTGAGTTCTTGGTGCTCAGTGGTTTGGGATGTTGACTTGTGCATGTGATTTTTACAACCATGAGAATGTTGTTGCAATTATATTTAGCTGGTGTCCATTGTATTTAGCTTATCATTATGTTATCTTTCATGTGCAAAATCTGGATGTTCTCTAATGTGCCAAAAGAAAAGGGGAAAAACACATTGGCCTTCAGTGTTAACATGGGCCAAGACTATGATGTTGTTTCCCAGAACTTAGTTGCTTTAGGCAAATACCAGTAAGTTTTATGTTGCCCTATCGAATCTTATATGGTGTCATCTCATATGTTCAAGATGTAAATACTTCTGATCAACTCAGTGTTAGGATAGGGAGGCGTTTTGAACTCTTTTTTTCTCAGAAAGATCCAAAATGGGGATCTGATAACTGGCCTTCATGCAGGGAAGATGGTGTATGTGATTGTTGAAAATACATTTATGGAGCATAGAACCTATATCAGTGTTTCAGTTACATCCTCCAAGACCACTGGCTTAGCAACAAATTGTTTCCACCAGAAAAATATGTTGCAAGAAACCAAAATGCTCTGAAGTGATAAATGTTTATGTGTTTACCTTTCATTCAGTCCTGCAAACATGCCTGTGTCTTAGGAGTGACCTGGAACATGACAGAGTTCCATTTTTACACACACTCCTTCCCTAAATAATCTGGATTCATATTTTTATGGCACTGAGAACCAAACGTCATCCATCTCACAGCAACTTAGCCGATCTTCAGTCTTAGATCAAGGTTGCTTGTGTACCTCTAGTGCATTACCACAAATGATTTTTAAAATCTACCAGTGGGTTAGCATAGGTTGAACAATGTGAAGACACCATAACCAATCTTTTAACTAATTGCTTTGTCCTATGCCCAAATCCCTACCTTCTGCAGAACTGCTATAAAGATCCACTGTCCTTTCTCCAGTATGACATGGTAACTGTAATACATTGTGGGAGGTTATCTCCAAGTTAGCAGTTCTTTCTTGCTTTTCTGAATCTCTTTTGCATTGCTCTTTCATAAGATGTTTTTTTCCCATACCCATGAATTGCTTTTTAAAACATTTGTTTTCCTCTGAGGTCTTGAATTCATATTTTGGTGTCATTAGAAATGCAGGGAGATCATATGGGGCCCTTTTGGCCAACCTACCACAGTGAACAGAAAAGTTCTTAAGCTGGGAGTGATGGAGACTGTGCCTTCTCAACCCTCCAAACCTTCAGTTTCATTTCTTTACCACCCTGAACATTACCTTCTTTCTACAGTTGCTGCTGGGACCGGAATGATTTTCTTCCTTGAGCCATTTCTTAGGATTCTGATTTGTCAACATCTACCCAATTCCACCTAGTACCTTCCTTTATTAAAGCAAGGTTTGTTGAAATGCCATGGTCAGTTGCCTTCATGGGTTTGATATTTTATGTCTGATTAAATTGCTCCTTCCAGTCATGTTCAGTTAAGGATTTCCACACTCTGTAATTTTAAATGAAGTGGTAAACGTAACTGGGCTATACCACCAAGTGAGGACTAAAAAAAAAACTAAAACTCTCCACCTGAAAAAGATGGCCACAAGGAGCATTTTCTTATGAGTTCCCACTTGCATTCCCTCTGGGTTTGGCCCAATGCAGGTTTACCACCTCAGTCAGAAGAACCTGGCCTAAACGTCTGTATTCTCTTGAATCTGTGACTGAGCCATTTCACCACCATGTAATATTGCTGTATTTTTTAAAAAAGCACTCTTTATTTGTGAGCAGGACTTGCATTTTCATATTCACGTTACAGTTACATGTGTTCAGGGTTTTTTGTACAAGCTGGAACCGTTGTTTTAAAAGGGGAGACTTTTCTCTCCACTGAGATGCCACTTTTGTTATTATTGCTGTTGAATTAAATATGGAGAGAAGCCCCTTTTGCAAAAGGGGAAGAGGGTACTGTTGTTTTGTGCCAATGACACTTGTATAACTTATATGATTTATTTTTAAATGTCTGCTACCAAGGAGGACCAGCTTCTTGGCAAATACAAAATGGAACATATACCAAGCTGCGGGGAAAGCTTCACTGTTGAAGCGAAAACCAGGGTGTGTGTATGTCTCTGTACATATATATGTATAGATATTAATGTATAAAGATTCCTCTTTTTTCCAAGTATGTACATTTTTTTAAACAAAAATCAAGACAAATAGGTCTGTTTAAAATCTCTTGGTTTTGGTATAGCAATAATAATGATGGATACTAATTTAAACGAACAGTGTACTTAAGTCTTAATTTTCTTTTGTCAATGGGAAAGTTTTGAAAGAAAAAATGGATCAAATTTTCGTTTTACGAACTTCCCAACTCTCTTTCATGCATGATGTAGAAACTTTGCTAAAGATGAAAG